TACTTAAGGTATTATGCCAGTATTCACTTCATATCATCATTGTCTTGTAGCGCGTGTTGTGTTAATCAAACCTTAAAGCATATTATTATTAATGTGTAACAACTTTACTGTTATTATTGTTTTTAAATTTTTCTTATCAGTTACTTTAACGACTTCCTCGTTCAATAAAGCCCTCACTTGGCGAATTAAACATCTTACTAAAACTTTAACTTCCGGTTATTAATAGAGTATTTTAGTCTCATATAACCTTTCTCACCCTAGCATGTATAAAATCTCATTGCCAAAAATGCGTTCGCTTTGAAAGCACGCGGCAATCAGAGTTTAAAAAATGGAAACAATATTTCATACTCTGAATAATAATCTCAAACCCAGAAATGTACAAATATGTCTAGCCTAATATATACTTTTAATTTTACGGTAATACATTAACAGCCTGGGTAGATATTTTTATGAAAATTTCTTTTGTTATATTTGCTACTAAATTTGTTATATTTATATTTTTGATAAATTTAAAATTTTACTTTTCATAATTATAAAATTATTTTACTTTTCATAATTATAAAATTATTTTACTTTTCATGATTATAAAATTATTTTACTTTTCATAATTATAAAATTATTTTACTTTTCATAATTATAAAATTATTTTACTTTTCATAATTATAAAATTATTTTATTTTTCATATTATAAAATTATTTTACTTTTCATAATTATAAAATTATTTTACTTTTCATAATTAAAAAATTATTATAAAACGAATAAATCGATGAGTAAATCTAACTTTAGAGTTTTCATTAAGTTAAGATGTGTACTTGCTAAGAACTTTCGTTGTCTCTACCTTAGCTTTCGATGAACAACTGATGTGAAAGTTTGAATAAGCCTAATAATTTCATTATGTTATAACAACAGCTTAATTTGTTTCAGTTTACATGTTTTCGTGACTTAATATTATTCCACGCTTAAAATATCAATAATTTTTATTATTTTCGTATTTTTACTTTAATACTAAACAATAACTTTTTTTTTTGCTTAGAATTCTTTGGCGGTTTTGTTATTGTTAGCAGTAGTGTCGCACGTTTCCGGTTTCTTGAAAATCTATCATACTATTATATTTACATTTTGTCTTTACAGACTTAATTTAGGAGACAACAAATTTCTTGATTGTTATATCAAGTTAAAAATGTCTCCTCTGTTTGAGTGAAGTAATAACTCTTTTCCTTGACTAGACGTAATCTTATCAATGCTTAAAATTTACTATAAACTAGAGGTTTTGATGTGAGCCTTCAAACCTTTTATTTTACTACGGTAATCAAGTTTTATTCTTAAGACTACATCGGAGAATGAGAAAAAGTTAACAACATTTAAGCAAAATATATTTGTAGCAAAGAAAGTTTGACCAGTACATTAGCGATTTCCTTGGTTTAAAACAAAAATAATTAGATAAACAACCTTTGTATTGGCATCGAAATTTGCCCAACTGTTCTCCATAAACTAATTTACCGCCTTAGAACTACAAGCACCATTTTTTATTTTTTCAATGCTTTATTGATTTATGTTTGGTTTTATTATTTTACTTTTTTTTCAACTTTCTGTTTTAATATAACATGACAACTTTAAGATATAAAGGGTTATTCGTTTAATGATAGTTTAACATATTTTTTTCTCTACAGCCTTTCTCTTGGTGTAGTGAAAGTTTGTTTGCTCGCAATTAAACACAAGGCAACACAATGGGCTATCTATGCTGTGCCAACCACGGGTGTCGAAACCCGGATTATAGTGTTATAAGCCCGCAAACTTACCGCTATGCCACTGATGGGCTGTAATGATGATATTAGTCAATGTTTTTTAATCTTCACGTTTAACACCAAACTACTAATATCCAGACATTTTCGAATAAACGCATTGATCATTGGATAATCTGATCTTATTGGTTGTTGATGTACTTAAATTAAAAAATCTAAAAAATAATCTCTCACTTTCCATCAAACGTTCCTCCACTTCTGGTTACTTGTTTGAATGTCTTACGGTCAGTTCAAAATAAAGATCCTACTTAAAAGAGCCCTAGGTTTAACGCGAAACAGGGGCCCGACTTTATCCACAATTCATCAAAATAGGAACCTGGATTTATCCGTCATCTGTTGAAACAGGAACTTGGCTTTTTCTGCCATCTGTGTAGGCGAAACAGGGGCCTGGCTTTACTTGTCATCTGTTGAAACAGGAACTTGGCTTTTTCTGCCATCTGTGTAGGCGAAACAGGGGCCTGGCTTTACTTGTCATCTGTTGAAACAGGAACTTGGCTTTTTCTGCCATCTGTGTAGGCGAAACAGGGGCCTGGCTTTACTTGTCATCTGTTGAAACAGGAACTTGGCCTTTACTGCCATCTGTGTAGGCGAAACAGGGGCCTGGCTTTACTTGTCATCTGTTGAAACAGGAGTCTCAATTTATTTTGTTATCTGCTGATAAACTGGATAGTTACCTATGTATGTTTTATTTTTATATTTCAAACTGAAAACCACGAAATAATTTGGTAATGTGGTAACGTGGGTGACACAGTAGCCTTAATAATGTAATAATATTAATAATGTGGTAGCCTTGGTAATGTAAAAATAATGGTGTAACAACTTCGTAATGTTCTCAGAAACTTGTTGTAAACAATGTTTTTTTGTTTTTTGGTTTTTTATTACAGTATGTAAAAAGGAAAATAACAACAAGAACATACAAAATAACCTTGATGGCGAATGTGAAGAACTAGAAGCACCATAAACACGTGCAGATACTTTGACATTAAAGTTATTATCTAAACCTTTCGTGTGTATAATACTGTTTGACTTATTTTTCATGTTTTACAGTTTTATGAAGATAGAAAATATACCTAACATGATCATAAATTATGAAACAAGACTTTTCTTACTTAGCTAATAAGTTTTGAATAACACTGTTTTAGTATTTAACGACTGATGATTTTAACTAAGTGCTCCTAAAGTTATCGATAACTTCACATCAATAATTTCGACAAGAAAATCTCAATGGTGCGATACGGGTGCCATCTGTTAGTGATAAAATTTCCAACTTGTCAGTAAGGCAAGAAGAATCATTAAAAGTAAATTGTTTATCAAGTTTAATCGACATTATTAACAGTTAAGTGTTCACCCAGGACTTAAGCCACTGGTTAGAAATAATCAATATCACCAATTACTGTTTACGTAGCAACTCCTTCAAACACACTGGTCAGTTAAGAGTTAGAATGTCTGAGACTTTAAATTTAAATAATGTTTAGATCTCGGCAGTCGTAATTTCTTTTCGGTTACCTAATCTATTCACAATTCTGCATCTTCTATAAACCTTAATAATTATTGGTAAGGCAAAACAATATACGAAAAGACACTATAGATAGGAAGTTTGGGAATAACTTCTCCCACCACCTCTTTGTTGTTGTTGTTGTTGTTTGCTTGCTTTCCTTTGGAAGAGTCTTGGCTACAAGACGGATTTTATCGATACATTGCCTGAGTTTAACTTTACGTTAAATAACGAAATTATAAATAAACATTGCAACGTGAATTAAGACTAACTGGTGAATCCATGAGAATCCATGACTGGATGGTATGTACGAGATCATCATCAGAATCCATGACTGGATGGTATGTACGAGATCATCATCATCAGAATCCATGACTGGATGGTATGTACGAGATCATCATCAGAATCCATGACTGGATGGTATGTACGAGATCATAATCAGAATCCATGACTGGATGGTATGTACGAGATCATCATCAGAATCCATGACTGGATGGTATGTATGAGATCATCATACATTTATTCTCAATTATAATCTAAAACGAAGTAACGAAGTGTATATATATGTAAGGATGTTAGACGGTTTGGTGAAACGGTATCAATGACGTAGAAAACTCAAGTTAACTACACAGTCCCTTAATGTTAGAGTCAGCGTTATCAGAAAATGTTAAAAAACGCATGCGTACTGATTATTTTGCTTATTAGACGTGGATCAACTAGGCCCTCTGGGTATAGCAGCATAAACAGATAGATAGAATCATTTTTGACTACAAAATAGATGAATATGGATTCTTAGAATCACGAATGTATTTTTCTCTCCAGTTGACGCTGTGGTTTCATGATCCACACCGGGAACGAGAGTAGCATGCTGGTTCGTCACTTGTCGTGGATGATGGCAAAGTTAAAATCCCCCTCCCAAAACAATAATAATAATAATTTAAAACAGTAAGAATAATAAGTAAATAAATAAAAGATGTTAAAATTAAATCTATAACGTTGTGTTATTTATTAAAATTAAATATATAACGTTGTGTTATTTATTAAAATTAGATATATAACGTTGTGTTATTTATTAAAATTAAATATATAACGTTGTGTTATTTATTAAAATTAAATATATAACGTTGTGTTATTTATTAAAATTAAATATATAACGTTGTGTTATTTATTATTACTTAGAAAGCTGATTTGTAAATGACTTAAATAAAAATTTATATTAGTTACAATTCGCTTCTTTAATCCCCCAGCGACTCAGAGGAAAGTCAGTGGGCTTGTAACGCTAAAAATTGGGACTCGATCCCCGCGATGGACAGAACCTGGATAGCTTGTTGTATAACTTTGCGCTTTACAACAAACAAACACGTCACAGCAGTTGTTGTACGTGAAAATTGAAGATGTGCATAACTAATGTGTCTGTCGTATCCCAGGCAACCTGGTGAGCCCTGAAATTGAACGAAAGACCTTTTCGGCAGTGGATATGGGGTTATGGTGTGGTTGACGTGTTATAACATGTTCTTCTATGTTTTCACTCGTGGGTTGCTTATGATCGAAAACATGTCCAAAGTTGTCCATATTGTTACTATTAATAGAATTCATGTCCAATTTCTATGACGTCTATTTCACTTCTTCGTCTCACAAGCAGCATAAACTAGGCTTCCGAAAACTGCTGTCGTCAGAATCATGAGAAATGTCTTAGTTTCAGTACACGTCCTCTAATTCAATTAGTCACACTCCATCAATCAGGATTCACGTGTTTTATACGTACGTAAACATCTGGAACTTCTCACCGCTGGCCAATCAAGAGATATCGTGTTTACAAAATAAATACAAATGTGTTTTAAGTTACCTCTGAACTAACCGCGCGTTCGTTCGTTATTCGGCTTGACAGTCGGGTAACTTCGTCAACCGAATATGGTTGCTACTTTCAGAGTCTTCAAGAAAATCGCCCCTAATGGAAAGGTAAGCTCAACGGTACCAAAGTTCTCGGAATAAATATTAGAAATCTAAACAATTAATTTTAGGGAATATTTAGATGATGAAAGTGGTTGAAAAAAACTTTATTCAGAGAAAAACATATTGATGAGCAATATAATGACGTAATAATCTGAACACTTACGAACAACAAAAGCTTTTTAATAACGTAAACGTATTATATGTTTACAAAACAGTGATAGTTTGTACTATGAGAAACATACATAAGGGCGAGTAAAGTGTAATAATCGAACTATGAGAAACATACATTAGGACGAGTAAAATGTAATAATTGTAGAAAACATACATAAAGGTGAGTTAAAAGAAATACATTGTACTATGGGAAACTGAATGATAGTACAGACTATCAGTGTTTACAGATGAGAAACAAACTGAATGATGAGTAAACTCTGATGGATTGTACTCTGAGAAACAAATTGAATGATGAGTAAACACTGATAAATTGTACTGTGAGAAACAGATTCACTGATGAGTAAACTCTGATAGATTATACTCTGAGAAACAACTTCAATGATGAGTAAACACTGATGGATTGTACTCTGAGAGACAACTTCAATGATGAGTAAACACAGATAGTTTGTACT